TGGGCTGTAATGACTGGGCAAGATGGAAGTCTGGCACACGCTGACCCTTCCCGCAGCTCCCAGGGTCTTCTCTTGTCTTTCTGGCTCTTGTTCGCCCCCTTCTGGTATGAGGGGAGGGCACAAGCTGCCTGATCTGTGTGACCTACACCAGCCAGGATCCCATATAAATGTTTTATTCATCCTTAGTCCTTCAGATCCCAAGGGCCAGTAGTAGTCCCCTTCCTTAGAGGAGGACATTGAGGCCGTAGGCTGACTAGCTCCAGGTCACAGCGCTGGTCCTTGCTAAGGCTGGACTTGACACATGGGGCTGTCCAGTCGTCAGCCTGGTTCTCCAGAGACAGGAGGTACAGCCATCCTGGGCCGTGTGGGAACATTTATTCTGAGCCTGGGGCACCCTTAACTCTAACCCTGGGCCCACAAAGTAGCCTCTGATGGGGACTCTGGCCTTCCTGGGGGCCCACCTCCCACCTCTCTGCTTTTCTAGGAGAGAATTTCCTTTCGCCCAGGAAATAGGCTCAGAGAAGTCAGGTGACTCACCCCTGGTCACACAGCCAGGCCTGGAACCCAGGAGGCCTGCCTTTATCTCTCAGATTGGGTCGTATCTGGCCTGATAGCTCATGTCCTCCCTGGCCCACTTCAGGCCCCAAACCATCAGCCACTGCCTGCCTCTCTCCGTTCCAGTCCTACCCGACGTGGACCCACTAAAATGCAGTCCTAGGCACTCTACTCCCATGCTTCAAAATCCTCAGTGGCTCTTGGTCCCCTAGGATGTGTCCAAGCTCCTTTCCAGACCGTCTGTGAGCTGATTGTCCCGCCAGGCTCTCACTGCTGCTTCGGGCATAGCGAGCCTGCACTGCGCAAACCTTCCCTCCCTGTGGTGCTGGCCCTCGGCACAGGAGCCAAGATGCTGCCCCTCTAGGCCCTGCATGGCTGTTCCGCCTGTGGCCCCAGCAGGGCCAGGCTGGGGGTCCTCGGCCAAATAAGTGAATGTCTCCTTAGTCCGAGTCTCTAGATATGCTGCAGACTTACAAGATCCTGCCCGAGGGCTGGGGTGCAGCAGGGGATTCCTGGCACTGCTGAGGCCCCCAGCCCCCTGCACCATGTGGTTGGTGCTGTGGCTGTGCCCGGCATCCTGCTGACCTCTCTCGGAGCACGCATTGCCACGTAGTAACAGGTCTTCACGTGCTCTTGCTCCTCGTGCTCATTTCTGGTGTCTGGTTTGCTTTGTTGCGCTGGGGAAAGCCCATCCCCTCAACTTCTCCTCATGCCTCCACTCCAAGGCCTCCTCCAGATACCCCGCCCACACCCCCATTGGCAGGATCCTGCCACTGAGGCTGGATGACCTTGAACAGGACACAGCCATTCCCTGAGCCTCGGTTTCCTCATCTGTAAAATGGGGGTCACGATCTCCACCTGGAAGACTCTGAGCTCCCACCAGCTGTGTGCCCGGCACAGGGCCTGGCACAGGGCAGCCCTCTGAGCCTCAGTCTGCTCCCTCCCCTCCTGCAGAAGGAGAAGATCCGGGAGAAGTTTGTGGAAGCCCTGAAAACAGAGTTTGCCGGCAAAGGGCTGAGGTTCTCTCGAGGTACGTGCATCCACTCATCCCGTGGAGGGTCTGAGAGCCTGGCCCAGAAGCCAGCCCCGGGCCTCACTCCCCAGGCCACGCGGCACTCCCCAGCGTCTTTAGAAAGCCTTCCTGCCCGGTAGTCCTCCCCACCCAAACCCGGTCCATGCCCTGCCACCCACCCAGTAGTTCAGGTCTCCCTCAGTGTTTCTCCCGCACCCCCTTCCCAAGGGCAGTCTCCTAGCAAGTCCCAGGGCCCTGCATCCAGAATCCTGGAATCCGACCATGGCTCACACCTCTGCCACCAGCAGCCTCTTTTCAGGCTCTGGCTGACTCCAGCGCAGCCGTCCTCCCACCGCCTAGTGTCTAGAGGGATGCTCCCCGAAAAGCAGACCCTGCTGGACCCCAGGGCCTGCATGGCCTCACCTCTGCCCTGCCTTCTCTGGTGCTGGGACACTCCGTGTCCTTCTCCGCCTCGGGGACTATGGTTGCTTCCCCGCAGTGGCTGCTCTGGCTCAGGCCTTAGCTCGGTGTCCCCTCCCAGAGAGGTCTCCCCGGTGGTGCTGGCTGGGGCAGCTTCCGTCCCTCCGCCCCACGGCTCTGAGGTGGCCTGGCTTGCCCACTGCCTGTTCTGCCCCCCTGGGACCATAGCTCTCAGTGAGGAGCCTGAGGCTCCCATGCCCTGTGCCTGGCTCTGCGTAGGCACTCCAGGTTGTTGAATGAATGAATAAATGCAGGATCTTGCCCAAGTTCATCCCATGGGCCACCCCTGTGCTCGCCTTGTCTGCCACCCCCTGCAGGCGGCATGATCAGCTTTGACGTCTTCCCCGAGGGCTGGGACAAGCGTTACTGCCTGGACAGCCTCGGCCAGGACAGCTTCGACACCATTCACTTCTTTGGGAACGAGACCAGCCCCGTGAGTGTGGCTCAGCCCAGATGTTTTCCACCCCAGTTCACCCCCAGGTCAAGGCCAGGACACAGGGCGACAGAACTGTCCCTGGGGAGACTCCCGGAGACCAGCCAGTGTTCCTCAGCCCCATTACACAGATTGGAAGGCTGGGGCTGAGAGCTGGCTGGACGCTTGTCCCATGTCACACAGCAAGTCAGGGCAGATCTGGTGAAGGCTGAGAAGGTGGGGGTCCGGGTGGTTCTGAGGGGGCAGGAGGAGAGGCAGCTCTGCAGGGGCCAGTGTGGGGAGGGGACCCCATGGCAGGGCACGTGCTGGGCCTTAGCCCAGGGAACCTCCTCCAGGCACCACATGTATGTGCATCTTCCTGCCCTTGTGTGCAGGGTGGGAATGACTTCGAGATCTACGCTGACCCTCGGACCGTCGGCCACAGTGTGGTCTCTCCGCAGGATACAGTACAGCGATGCCGTGAGATTTTTTTCCCAGAGACAGCCCATGAGGCATGACCAGGGCCCACGCCCGCTCCTAGGGACTTCTAGAGAGCTCCACCCAGGCCTAAAGAGAGCCCCTGGCCCTGGTGTTGGGTGGGGCGCCAGGGCCCCTCCTCCTCCGGCTCAGGATGCCTACCTCCTATTACCTGCTGCAAGGCCCACCTTGATGGGGCCAGGGTCCGCGTGGACAACCGTCCCCAGCCGGTCAGCTCCTAGGGGGGCCGGCTCCGTCCTCCACCCCGACAGCCCTGGCTACAGCTGCTGCTTGTACTTGTAAAGAGAACAGATTTCTGTCTACGCCGGGAGGAGACCTGCACTAGTGTTGGTACGAGATAGAGCCCGCTCTGCTTGCCTGTCCCAGGCAGGGCGCAGAGCACCAGGGAAGGTGCGTATTTGCCAGAACTTTCTCTCACAAACATTAAAATTCCTGGAACAAGGTATGGTGTCAGCTCTGTCTGAATGGATAATTGGCCCCAGTCACAGATGACATTACGTGAGGGAGCCGAGGCAGAGTGGGCAGGGACTCCCCTCACCCCCTGCCTGGTCACACGGGAAGTCTTTGATCCACTTGAGGAGAGTGGGCCATTGAAGCCCTAAACAAGGGTTAAGTTGGGGGTACCCTCCCCAAGCGCCTCCCCCGGGACCCAGACAGACAGAGGCAGCTCTGGGCCAGGCTGAGTCACAGTTGAGGGTTTATTGCCAGTGTTAGGAAGGATGGGAGGTTGGTGGGCCGGGGGGGGGGGGGGAGTCCAGGCGGCTGGGGGTCTTGGGAGGATTTCTGACTCCACACTGCAGGGCTATGGGTTTGGAGGGGTACTGCCGCCCCTCTGCCTCCCAGACAGCCCTGGGGCTGATGTTGCCACATCCTGTCTACTGGCTAGTGCCTAAAAACGGAGGGGGGGGGGGGTCTGCTCACAGGAGGGAGTCTTGGGGGGGAGCTTCCAGGAGATCACCTGCACCAATAAACCTTCCACCCAGGAAGCCAGGGAGTCCTTATTCCTCTGGGGCAAGTCCTCAGGCCTTGTCAGGCCAGCTCCAGCTCAGACTGGGGTGTCAGGCTGGGCCATTCTGTTTCTCAGCAGCTCTGACCCCCCACCCAGCCTGGTAGAGCCTGGGGGCTGGGGTGCACGTACCCCAGCTGATCTCTACCCCGAGGCCCAAGGGGTACCTGCAGTACTGGAGATCCTTCTAAACAGATAACCCTCATCCTGGGCATTTGAGCCCCTGTTTTACTCACAGACCCTGTCTCAAGGCTTACTGTCCCTGGCAGGCTTTCCCTCGACCCCCATTTCTTGTTGCATCAAATGTGTTTTCTAGGAAGGGGTGTGGTGGTGATGGGGGGGATTGAGGCGAAGCCTCTCCTTTCTGGCCTCCCAGGCCAGACCAACCCCCCACCCGAGAGTGAATGCACACAAACACACACACACACACATACACACACACACACACACACACACACCCTTTAAGGGACTCAACGCATGAGATTGGGACCACACACCTCAGCCACTGGCCTAGTGGGGGCCAGCAGTAGTGCTTCGGGGAGAGGGTCCAGCAAGGGGCTACAGGGCTAGTGGTCTCGGGCTGAGGGCCATCCTGTGGGTGCCCAGGCCTGGCGCTGCCTGAGGGGACGTGCGTCTGCCTCGCCAGGTCCTCGGCAGCCTTATCTGGGCATGGGCAGAGCATCAGCGGAGTTTGTGGGTCAGGGCGAAGGGGCTGGCTCCATCCAAGCAGGGGGAGATGTGCCCCCACCCCTCCACAGATCTGCGTCTCGGAGAGTGGTGGCAGCGTGGCTCAGCGCGGCCCAGGGGAGAGGATGCAGCCTTGGAGCTCACAGAGCCATTGCCAAGCCGAGGAGGAGGAGGAGGAGGGACCGAGACCCCAAAACCACCTCTGCCCTCAGCTCCTTGCGTGCCTCTCGGGGATGCTGAGAGGAGAGAGCAGATGGAGGGAAGGGAAGCTGGGCCCGTGGCAGTGAGGAGGGGTTTGCTACTCCAGGGGTTGCCCTCTTCCCCTGCCAGAGGCTGGGAGGCTTCCCCAGAGCTCTCGCTGGCCTGGCTTCTGTGGCAAGGGGTCCAGGCCACCGCGGGAGACCCAAGCCCAGGGTGGGAGGTGTTAAGTAGCACAAGCAGAATCTGGCCCTGGGCTGGGCCTGGGGCAGAGGCAAGGGGAACCCGCTTGCACGGGGAGGGGCCCACTGGCGCCCCCTGCCTCCCAGGCCCAGGCCCGGATGCAGGCCCCAGGGGCTCGGGGGACAGAAGGGCGAGAGGGTCCTGTGCGGATGTGGCAGGGAGGGGCAGGAGAGAGCCGACAACAAGAAGGCAGGCCCGGGGGGGCCTCACCTTTGGTCCAGCTCACACAACAGTCGTGGGTCACGGGGGGGTGGATGGAGGCACGTGCTCGCGGTCACAAGCACAGACAGACACGTGTACGCCGAGGCCGCCCGGGGGACCCGGCAGGTGCAGGGGCCTGGAGCCCGCGGCTGCCTGCCTACCCTGTGTGGCTCCCCACCTGCCCGGCAGCTGACACGTGAGCCCCCCCGGCCTAGGAGCCCACGACCTGGCCGGACCACGTCTCGTGGGGAGTATGTGGGGCCAACTGGGTGAGCACCACCTCCACAGCCTGGAACTTCTGGTTCTTGGGCGGGATGGGGCACATCTTGTACGTCACCTCGTCGCCTTCCACGGGCACGTACTCCCCCTCGATGCTGGTGGGCGGGAGAGGGGCGTCAGCCCAGCAGCAGGCCCCGCTCCCAGACACCCACTGTGGGCTGGCCTGAGGGCTGCCTCCCCTCCCTTCTCAGAGCTTCAGCTCGAATCTGTAAAATGGGAACCCGAAAAGGTCCCTCCCTGTCTGTGCTGTTTGGGGATTGAGCCGTGAAAGGCAAGGGGGGTCCGGAGGCCTGGAGAAGCTCAGTGCCCCCTGCCCCCACCAGGTCTTGCCTGGCATCAGGGCTGGGGGCCAGGCCTAGATCATCTCTCCCATGTCCGTCTACCCTCCAGGCCAGAAGACCCAGGGGCTGGCCCAGTCCTCAGTTCCCGTGATGCAGGATCCCAGGGCTCAGCCAGCGGTTCCCGGGGCTTCTGCGGCCTGGGTGTCCCCTCCCCACGTGCCACCGCCCCCCCCCCCCCCCGCACACACGCACCCGCAGCCCCTGCGACAGGAGGAGAAAGATGCCAGGGACACAGACTTCAGCCAGCCAGGGGAGAGGCTTGGAGAGGCATTTCTTGAGGCCCTGCCGGGACCCTGCAGCAGGGGCCCAGCCAAGAATAGGGAGGCGGGAGGGACTCACTCAGACACATGCACAAAGATGTCCTCGGATCCATTCTCAGGGGTGATGAAGCCATGGCCCTGTGAGCGTGAGAACTGCTTACAGACGCCCTTGAACACGGGGCCAGCCGAGGCACGGGCTGTCCTGAGGTTAGAGTAGGGGGATAAGAGCTGTGGCCTGGGGCCTCCCCTCCCTGGACTCCCACAGCCCCCCTGGGCCCTGCCTGCCTGCAGAGCCTGTCCCAGGGCTGTGGAAAACCCTCCCCAGGCCAGAAACTGCACACAGTAATGCTCTCTTATGGTCCCATTGGACAACAAGGAGACTGAGACCCAGAGAGGGGAGCTGGCCCTTCGAGGGTGCACAGCAAGTGGGCCTCCTAACTCCCAGCCAGTGCCCCTCTCTGTGCACAGGACCCTTTCCTCCTGAGACGATTCAGGTTTACATGGGCTCCTGTTGTAAGATTTCTGAGGGAAGAATGCTCAGCCTAAACTCGAATTTCTCTCAAAATGGGGAGCTCACTACCTCTTGAGGTCGCAGTATCCTATTGACTTATTTGTCTCGTATCTACTCATTCATCATTTATTAAGCATCTGCTCTGTGCCTGGCCTTGGGTTGGACACAGGGGACAATTAGTGCTTGCCATCCAAAACCTCTCCTTTCGGGACCCTGGGCTGGCTCAGTCGGCGGAGTGTGCGACTCTTGATCTTGGGGTTGTGAGTTCAAGCCCCATGTTGGGCGTAGGGCTTACTTAAAACAAAACCAAAAATCTCTCCTTTGGCCAAGGCAAGTCAGTCTCCCTTGTGATTTCTCCAAATCGCCTCCCCCATGTGACCCCAGCCAGTGACCTGTGCCAGAGGCCCAAGCCTGGTCTCTGTCTCGCCTGCCCACCCCTCACCAGAGGTCAGTCCCTTGCTTCCGTTTTGGTCCAGGCTGACCCATGTACCTGGAACACCCAACTTCCTTCTTCACCTAACACATTTTCCAAACCCACTAGGACCTCATCCTCCCCTCCCTGACGCCTGATGCTGTGCCTTCTCCCCCAACCCTGGGTGGAGGTGAATGGTGGACAAATTCCTCCTGGATTGTAGGCAGTTTATGGGTGGAGACTGTCTTATTCATCACTGGGTCCCCTGGTCAGGTGCTCAATAAATCTTAGTGGAGTGAAGAATGAATGAACGAACACAGAAGTTACTGGAAGGTCCATACACAGCTCCTCTGTCCTTGAGTGAGGACAACAGGGGTTGGACAGGGCTGGAGCCCTGTCCTGGGGAAAATCACTGGAGCCTGGGCGAGGGGCGGGTACTCACGCTGAATACGTCCTGGTCCGTTTGGTGGGCAGAGGACTGGGCAGGTCCCGGGACGAGACGCCGCCCCGCTCCCAGACCCTGCTGCCCTCCCGGTGGAAGGGGAAGGTGGGCCAGACAGGAGACTTGGGGGAGTGGAGAGGGGGCACTACTGGGGGTGACGTGGGCTCTGAAGTCATGGTGGGTCCAGCAAGAGAGCCTGGTGGGCTCTCGGGCACAGGGGCCGGCGAAGGGCTTGGGCGTCCTTGCGGGCAGGGCCCGGCCTGGCCCTGCTCGGCAGCCGCACCAGCCGCAGGCTCCGTCTGGAATGGGAAGAAAGAGGTACAGGTGAGTGTGGGCCAGATTGAGCGGCTTCTGGACACCCGGCCCAAGTCTGGAGGGCTGGGCCTGCTCGCCAATCCTCACAGAGTGACTTCAGGCCGCTCACGGCCCCCCCACCCTGACTCGGGGTCCTCCCCAGAAAGACAAAACAGTCCTATATCCTTGCTCTGGACTGAACTGTTCCCCCAAAAATTCATATCTGGAAGTCTTAACCGCCCACGGTGGTGGTATTTGGAGATGGGGCCTCTGGGAAGTCATTAGGTGTAGGTGAGGTCAGGAGCGGGGTGCCCCATGATGGGATTAGTGCCCTTGGAAGAAGAGACCCAGAGAGCTTGCTTCCTCTCTGCCATCTGGGGACACAGCGAAATGGAAGCTGTCTACAAAATAGGAAGAGGGCTCTCACTAGAACCAGACCAAGCTAAAACTAATCTCAAAGTCCTTCCAGCTTGAAGCTCAATTCTCTAACTCCAGGGGCCTGGGAGGTGGGATGGGGAAAGCGGCCAGTGACAGTCTGGAACACAGGTTGGCACAAGTGTGAGCAGCTTCACAACCACACACCTGGGTTTGAATCTCAGCTTTGCCGCTGTACCTTGGGGACTTCGACAGTTCCACCATGGCGGGTGGGAGTGCAGCCTCTGGACCCAGGTGACCTGGGTTTCAATCCTGCCTCCTGCACCTAACTGGCTGTGCAGCCTTGGTCAATGCTCTTAACCTTTGACTCAATTTCCTGCTCTGTAAAATGGGGATTAGTGCTGGTTCTCACTTCACAGAGAGGTTGCTGTCAATGACCCTCTCCGTGCCCGGGCGTGGTAAGCCCTTGGGAACGTTGGTGAGTTTGCCTTAGCCCTATTTTCCTCTGCTCTGAAATGGGGTTGGGGATACTTACCATGCCAGGCTGCTGAGGAGTCACTGATAGAGTGTGTGATAGCTCCCAGCATCTCAGAGATACCCACTGAATTGCTATCATCAATGCTCATGGATAGAAATACCCTCATCACCTGCTCAGTGCCTGGATGACCTTGAAAAACTTCATCCTGTATTTCCCTCTGCTAAGGAAGAGAACATAGTCCTCTCCCCACAAGGGTTGGGAAGCCTCGGGCCCTAAGAGACCCTGCCGTGGAACCCTACGGAGGACAGCTCAGAGTACTGAGCCAGGCTGTGGACAGAGCCTGGGGCCACGGTGGGACCAGGCAGGACACCTGGACCAGGAGCACTCCAGCTCTGCCGTGTACCAGCTGCCGACCTTGGGGAGTAGTTCCACTGGCCTCAGTCTCCTCATCTGTATAACGGAGCAGACAAACCCTGCCTCGATCCCTCGCAGGCTATGGTGAGGCTTGGCTAAGCCTGGGGAGATAAAGAAGCTCTCATAATCCACAGTCACGTAGGAGTGAGGATGACAGGGTTCTCCACTTCCTCACCCCCTCATTCAAAGACCCTAGTGCCAGAGGTAAATCCCTGAGCCTCAGCCCTATTTCTGGCCTCCATCCTGTGCTCCACTCCCAGCCTAGAATTTCCAGGGCTGACTTGCCCCGAAACACAGTGTGGCAAGGGCTGGGAGAGCCTTGGAGTCACACCATCCAACAGTGGGGCAGGTCTCCTGCCCGCCGTTCAAGGTCACACAGCAAGTGGGCTTCTTCTGGGTCAGGCTGATAAGCCGGCTCTGCCCTCCCCGGGGCTGGAGATGCAGCCTTTCTCCTCCCCAGCCCCCGTGCCCCAACATGCCTCTCCATCCAGGAGAGCTGCCGGGGACTGAGGACGGCCTCTCGCGGCCCTTCACAGCTCCTCACAGCGCCCCCAAGCTGATGTGAGGTTTTTCTTTCTGAGCCTGCTCCAGGAGTCAAGGCCGGGTTTGGCCTTTTTATTCCCGTTTTTAGAGAGAAGGAAACGCAATCACACAAGAACTTGGACTTGAACGTTCACAGCAGCGTAATTCACAATAGGCCCAAAGTGGAAACAACCCGACGTCCGTCAACAGAGGAGTGGATAAACAAACCGTGGTCTAGCCACAGAGTGGAATATGACTCAGCCATAAAGAGGAATGGAGTCCGGAGCCCTGACACCTGCTACAGCACAGACAAGCCTGGAGACCATTACGCCGAGGGGAAGAAGCCAGCCAGTCACAAAAGAGCACATTGCGTGATGTTATTTACACGAAATGTCCAGAATGGACAAGTCCACAGAGGCGAAAAGGACATCCATGGTTGCCAGGAGTTGGCGGGGAAGGGATGATGGGGAGTAAATTCTAATGGGTGCAAGAGTTTCTTTCCGGGGTGATGAGAAGCTCCTGAAGTTGACCGTGGCCTTGTCGCACAATTCTGTGAGTATTCTGAAAACCCTAACTCGTCCACCTTAAACAGTTGTATCATATGGTATGTCAGTTATATCGCCATAAAGCTGTTATCAAAAAAGGAAAACAGGCAGCAAAGCTACCCAAGATGTCAGGGCCAGGAAAGCAAGAGACGTCGGGCCCCTTGGCGCGCGTCCGGGCGCCCCCACCCCACCTGAGCAGGGGTGGCAGGTGGACAGAGGCTCTGCTTCCTTTGGTCCCGGCCTGCCCACTGCACAGTTTTCCCGGAGCTGGTATTGTGCTTGGCGGTGACAGCCGGTGCTGGGAGGTCGTGGGGAGGAGGGGCAGAGACAGCCCACAGCCGTTACCAGGGAGACGCAGCTGAGCGGGGCCCTGCTCTGGCCTCCCAGCCTCCCGGCCTCCTGACCCAAGGCCTCTTGCGGGGAAGGGGGACAGATGCATTGATCGATTACCCAGGGTTAGAGTTGAGGGCAGCAGCCCCCTTCCTTCCCCTCCCCAAAATAAGTTCCCCATAACAGACCAGGCAGCAGGAGGGAGGAGAATGGAATAAGGGCAGTGATAGGGCTTCGTGCCCTCCAGCCCCACAGGACTGGCTGCTCTGGGCTCTTTCACCCCCACTCACCCTGCCGGCTTCCTTTGAGAAGCCCACAGTTAGCCTTAGAGCAGGAGTTAGGGCTGGGGGCGCAGACAGGGCAGCCTCCACAGGGCAGAGAGCTCTGCTGTGGGATCTCCCCCACCTCCCTCCTCTTCTGGAAAATGGGGGGTGCAAGAGCGTGTCCTCCAGAGCTCCTGGGAGGATGAGATGGGACGGGATGCTGGAAGAACAGCAGGTGCTGGGTGAGAGGTCCGCCCTCCCAGACGGGGCTGCTAAACTGGGCTGAGGGGGAAGAAGGAGTGGGCGGAAGGAGAGCCCCAGCTGGCCTGAGGCAAGCCCACCCGCACTCTCCTCTTTCCTCTTTCCCCAAGGACTCGCCCACCCACCAGGTCCCTGCCCAGCCCCCTCCCTTTTTAATTCCTGCAGCCACCCCTTCAGCAGCTGCTATTATGCCTACATTTTGCAGATGAGGACACTGAGGCTCAGAGAGACTAAGTCATTCACTCAAGGCCACACAGCAATTAATGTCTGAGCCAGGACTCAAGAACCAAGGCAATCTGGCTCTGGAGCCCTGGGTTCAGGCCCTGCATTGCCACTGACTTGCTGTGCGACCTTGGACGATCTTCCCCTCTCCGGGCCCTGCCAGAACCCTGGGAGAAGAGAACAAGGGGGTGCAGGGCAAGCCTCTGGTTCAGGCCCTCTCCCCAGAGTGTGGCTGCAGAAAGGGACAAGTAAAGATGGGCTTTTATTGTCTGAATGCGGTACCCGGCGCAAAAGTCCTTACAGAGGCTACTCTCCATTTTGAAATCTCCCAGTTGCCCTGAAAGTTTGGAATTCCCATTGTTTCTATTTTACAGATAAGGAAACTGAGGCTCGGGGAGGTGAAGTGACTCACCCAAGGTCACACAGCACGTGAATGACAAGAGCTCAGATCCATCTGAAAGCAAACGGTGGGTGCTCTTCTCGTGAGGATAAATTCTGCTCCTGGTTCAGCCAAAACACGGCTGGAGTTTTTACCAAAAGAACTTTCCCTGAGAAACTAAAGGGGAAAATAAACTCCTACAAAAGCAGAGAAACAGATGAGTGTGTAGGACGTTTGTTTCGATTCAGAGTAAAGCCCAGCCCCCAAGGGACTCGGTCCGACTGTCTGGGAGCACCTTTTGCCCAGAACGATGCCCTTCAGAACTGGCCGCCGGGGGTTCGAAGACAGGCCGGGACCATTTCTGGCTTGGGCCGGAACCCTGACTCGGCAGTGACCCTCCCTTTCTGAGCCTTAGTTTCCTTATGTGTCAGAGAGGGCTAATAGTTAGCACCTGTCCCGCGTGTGGGAGGGGCTGAGGAGCCGCTGTGTGGGTGGCCCACCTGTGAGGGTGCATCTCCCTGCCCACGCGGTCTGGCCCTGACCCTCCCGGCCGAGCTTGTCTTCATTTCCCTGCGTGAGGGCCAAACCCTGGCAATTCTGCAGACGGAAGGACCAGGGGAGGTAAAACCAGAACATCAGGACTGTTCAGAGGTAACCTGAGGCGAGGCTGTGATACAGTGTGACTCAGCCCCATCAGCAGGTGACCATCATCCTGGTGCTGGGCCTCCTCCAATTCTCAGGTACCCCAAAAGGAATGGGGCAGGAAATGGCTTGTCACAGTCCTCTCTTGCCCATGCGAAATCTGTCTTGTTCGGGGCAGAGTAGGGAGAGCAAGCTGGCTCCACCCCCCCCCCCAGTACTGTGTGATCTGGGACAAGCCCTCAACCCTCTCTGGGCCTCACTACTCGAAACATCACTGGACCAGACGCCTACTGAAGGTCAGTCCGACTGTCCTCTGAGGTTGTCAAAAGCACACACGTAACTGAAAGGAAGCTGAATGCCAGGCGTTGGGACAACAGGCCGGAGAGGAGACAGCCGCACCCTCCAGGGGGAGGACCAGACGGACCAGAGCACAGCATAGCATAACATGACGAGAGACAGCTATCGTGTATTGATCGTTAGCCACGTGCCAGTGTTCTGCCAAGTCCCTGGCCCCATTTCCTCAGGCAGTCCCCACAACACCCCTACATGACAATGACCACTATTATCCCCGTTCTTCAGAAGAGTAAACTAAGGCCCAGGGAGCGAAAGAGGCTTCCTGGGTTCCCACAGCTGGTCAGGAGTGGTGCTTTCTGCACCTGAGATGTTGGGGGCGGGGGTGGGTTACAGAAAGGCCTCTGGGAGGCGGGGGGAAAGCTCTCTGACATCTCCTGCCCTCCCCTGGAGAAGGAAGAACAGGGGCGTGGAAGAACTGGGGAGTCAGGGCTTGGGGTTCTATTTCTGGCTTTGTGCTGACTCAGACTATGACCTTGGGTGAATCACTTGCCAACTCTGGCAAGCCTAAAAACAACTCCCCCAATAAAAATGTCCCAGCCCCGAGCCCCCAGTGTGGAGGAACAGCCGGGGGAGGAGAGGATATGATGACTTAAAAAGGGGAAGGCCATGGAGCACAGGATGGTGCTGGGAGGGCTTCCTGAACACTGGGGTCTTATCTACGGTGGGTGGCCCTGGGAGCCTGAGGAAACCGCCTCAGGACCACCAGCCAGAAGCTGGCACTTCCCCAGTCCCTCCCCTCCCCCAGCCACCCAGACAGTCCTTAAAATACATCAGTGCCAGAGCTGCTCCGGCCGCTGGAGGTGACCTAATTAAACCTGGTTCTTCCCCCTCCGGCAGCGTGTGCGCGCGTGTGCGCGTGTGTATGGGGGTGAGGGACTGCCCCAGCGAATATTTGAGCTTCGTGGAGACCTTTTCACTCTCCTTGTCACAGGCCCCTCCTGCCCTGGGGTAGGTGACAAGGGCTTTGGGCTTCCTTAGCATCAGTGAGGGTGAAGGTGCCAGGAGGGGCACCTCAAGAGCCATGCTCACACCCCACCTCTGCCAGGCTGTGTGACCCTGAGCAAGTCACTTCCCACTCTGAGTCCCCCCGGAGAAAGGAAAGGGTTTGTCAAAGTCACACTTAGGGTAGCTGAACTCAAATCAGTGTGACCCCCAAGCCCAGAGCTTTCCAGCGTGCCAGCCGCCACCCCGGTGACCATCATTCCATCAGCTTTGGAGCAGGGGAGAAGACCCCCACTACTTTCTGCTCCTACCTTGCTGCTCTGCGTGGACACGGGTCCCAACTGTCCCAAGCCCCCGGACTTGGCTGTGCTGGTCGTGACCAGTAGATGTGAGCAGCTCAGGCAAGCCCGGAGCGCCCTCTGCTGGTGCCAATCTGGGGGACCTGCCTCCAGAACAACCAGCCTGTGGGTGTCCCCTCCCCACAGGCTAGCTGTGTAGGACCCCCTATTCCTCCCTCCAGAGCCCCTCCGTGGCCGGTGGGCATCCGTGAACATTGCCAGGCCTGAGAGGGGACTCTGTGGCCCATACTGTCCCTTGGCCTTTCCCAGGCCCCTGTGCGGCCAGTTCCTGCTTAGACCTTTTTCTTGGAGTGGAGGGCAGACAGACCCAGCGGGGTGGGACAGATATGGGAAATAGATGTTGGAAAGGACTTCAAGGAAATGGTGAGGGTAGGCGGAGGGAGTCTGGGTGAAGGAAACATCCAGAATTTGGAGGGCCCAGAGGCCTCTGGAATGGAGTCAGTTTGGGGGACAAAAACTGGCTCCCCATCCTCCAAGGGGCCGGAGACTGCCCCTCCCCATCAAGAGGCCCCTTCTGGAGCACATCCAGGGGGGCACGGTGCCAGGCCCTCAGAGAGGTTGCCCACCCTCCACCCAGGCGCACTTCCTCCTCCCCTCCCCCAGCCCCAGCGGATGCAGCAGTTCACACTCTGTATTTATTATTGTTCTCGCTCAGCGTCCCTCCCCTCTCCCTGGGAAGAGGCTGCAGGCTGGCAGCTTTGCAGGAACCTGCTGTCTCCCTTTCGGGGGCCAGCATCACCCCTTATCTCTGCCCAGACTCCTTGTGCCCGGGGAAGGCCCCTCAAGGACTTGGGGCTAGCCCAGGCTGCCCCGAGTCCCTGCATCCCGCAGCTGGCGGCCAGCAGCCTAGCCCGCCCCCTGCCCCCGGGGCTACACCCTGGCAAGGGGGGAGGTCAGAGCAAGACCAGCAAGCAGGGGAGAGGAGTGGCCTCAGGAGAGGCAAGAGCTCTGGGTAGGGGTGGCTCTGAGGCGAAGATAATTACATGGAGCCACATCTCCAAGCCAATTAAAACAATTATCCCCATCGCGTTGGGGATGAAATAGAGTCAGGACGAGACAGCTGTTCCAGGTCCAACTATCTGCCTGCCCTAGATGGTCCCACCCCGGCCCCAGCCCCAAATTCCAGGGGGACAGACCCACATGCTCCCTGCTGCATTCTCCTTTTGGCATCTGGTAGGAGCACGATTATTCATTCCCCAGTCATTTCTCTTCCCCTGGTTCCCAGACAGGAGGCTGGGGCTTGGCAGGTGTCTGCTATTCTCTGCCTCTTGAGCCAGACACAAGTCCCAGACACACACACACACACACACACACACACACTCTTTCTCTCTCTCTCTCTCTCACAGGGAGCCACAGGGCCTCAGCTTCCCTTGGGGGCCAGGAGGAGGGACGGAGGGAGGGAGGGGAGGAGGGAGGACAGGGTGGGCTCATCCACATCCGCTCCTACACCCCCCCTCTGTAAACTGAACGGGGCTGGGCCAGCCCCAGGGGAGGGACCCACCTTCCCAGCCCCACGGCGTCCTTCCTCCCTGCTTTGCCCCTGCCAAGCTGCCCTGCCCTCGCCGCCCAGGCCTGACCCTTACCTCTCCCTGGCTGCCGAGGTCCAGGCACTGGCTCCTGCAGCCGCCTTCAGCACTCCGCCTCTCTCTGGGCTCGGAGCTGGCCAGCAGGGGATGGTCTGAAGGATGTGTTGTGGGTACGACTCGTGTGTGTGTGTGTGTGTGTGTGTGTGTGTGTGTGTGTGTGAGCATGCAGCACCTCGAGCCCCTCACTCACTCACTCACACACGCCCTCCTCCTGACGTCAGGAAGAGCAGGAGGGAGGGACTGCGATGAGAATTTGTACTCCCTGCTTAAAGGGACACGGGGCCCTGTTGCCTCTGGGCCAGACACCGCCTCCGGAGTCAGGCACAGGCTGGGTGAGAGAGGGAGCTGCATCTCTCGGGGCCTAAAGCTTCTTTTTTTGGAAAGTGGCTTTTATTGCCAGGCCAGGGTATAATTTGCCCTGCCAGGTGGGAGTAGCCGCTGAGGAATGCAGGGAGAGAGAAGCTGGGACGGCCTGCATTCCTGGCAGTTAGAGAGCTAGTGAGTGGGAGTGCGTGTGCGTGCATGCGTGCGTGTGTGTGTGTGTGTGTGTGTGTGTGTGTACATGCGCGTGTACTGGGGGCCGCGGGGTGGAGAGGGGTAAGTCTGGGAGAACAGAGGTCTCAGCAGAGAGGAGCCCTCTCTGAGGGGAGAGGGCGGGGAGAGCCCAGTTTCCAGGGACTCTCAGACCTTCCTCTACCTTCTGATTCTCAGAGTGTCCCCCGGCCTCCATTAGCACAACACTGGGCTCAGGTCTATCCCTCGCTCAGTGGAGATCCTTGTGAGTACGTGAACATGGGCAATCACAGGCGCTCATCTTCTCTGGCCCACAGTAGAAGATATTTCTATTGAATTGAATTGAATTGAATTGAATTGAATTGAATTGAATTGAATTGAATTCAGAAGCCCCGTAGGGAGTGATAAGCTTGCTACACACACACACACTCATACCACACACATACACTCACACCACACATACACCACACACACACTCACACTCACCACACACACCACACACACATACACACTCACACCACACACACCACACTCACACACACCACACACTCACACCACACACATACACACACCACACACACACACACTCACACCACACACACCACACATGCGTACACACACTCACACCACACACACACACCACACACACATACACTCACACCACACACACATACACACACTCACACCACACACACACTCACACACTCACACCACACATACACCACACGCGTACACACACTCACACCACACACACACCACACACACATACACTCACACCACACATACACCACACACACACTCACACTCACACCACACACACCACACTCACACACACCACACACTCACACCACACACATACACACACCACACACGCGTACACACACACCACACACACATACACTCACACCACACACACACTCTCACACCACTCACACACACACACACACACCACACACTCCAGGACAGACAGCCCCTGCCCCCTTCCCAGTGCCCTGGTTTCCACAACAGAGAGGCCCTGGGTGTGAATCTCCGCTCCAGCACGCCCAGGCTGTGCGCACTTGGGAAAATCTTTTACTGACTCTGATCCTCACGGCCTCTCTGTAAAGGAGGCAAGCAGGCCCTTTCTGAGCCACTGTCGGTGTTTCCAGAACAGTCCGTAGCTAAGCCTCAGGCCCCGCTAGAGAGGCTGCCACAAAGGGGCTTCTCTTCCTCCCCATCCTTTCTCCTCAGCCTCAGCTTGGAAAGAAGGAAGGCTTTCCCGCCTATAATCCTTAGCACTCTTGACGCAGGCTGGCATTTTCAACAGAAGTCTTATTGAAATTAAAAGGAGGAGGGAGTCAAAAGGGAAATGATCAAGAAATATGCAAATAATAACAACAGCTAGTAAGATACCCTGAGGACTCCCCAGCTGTGGGGCAGTAGGCTTTGCCACCATTCAAGGCCCGCAACGATCCAGCAATTTATTATCATCACCCCTATTTTGCTGGCGAGGACGTAAGGCTCAGGTAGGAGGAGGGAATTGTCCGTGTTCATTGTCTGGTTAGAAGGATATTTGCACCCAGGGCCCTCCAATGCCACCACGTGTCCCTGCCCCTCCAGAACCTCCCAGAACAATCAGGCTCAGACAGCCTAGGTTTCTGATCCTACACAAGAAATGGGGAACCTTGTTGCCCATTGTCACCTGAAGCCTGGAGTTCGGATTCTATTCCACCCGCTAGACTGAGGACCCCGCCCAGAGGAACCTCAACCGGCTTAAACCCTTCTCTTCTTGTCTTCCTCTCTTCCAAAGATAATCATAGTTTTCAAAGTGCCTGCACGGGCTGATCAGCTCACCTGCTGCTTATAACAACTCTGTGAGGTTTACCTGGATGAGGAAATGGGCTGGGCAAGATGGGGGACCTCACAGAGTCATCCAGCTTGGAGGTGACAGAGTGACGGAACAGGGGCCTAGACCCATGGTTCACACGCTCCAGGAGAAGGGCTGGGGCTGGGGCTGGGGTCGATGGCTGCGATCTCCCCTGCCCACCACCCACTGTCCCTTCCGCCGGGAAACGGCCCCCATGCTTTCATCTGGGCAATGCCCTCTCCTCTCCCCTGAGCCACAGGACCCCTGGTGGCCCATCAGAACCAGAGTCAGGAGTTGGGTTGGAACGTCGATGCCAAGGCCGGCTCTTCTCCCCATGGGTCCTGAGTTGGCAGAGCTTTGGCCGTGGGCTGTTGGTGGCAAGCTATGGACTACAAGCCAATGGGCCACCAGCGGGGAGTAGCCAGGGAGGACTTTTCTGAGGTGATGATGTTTGAGCTGAGCCCCAAGTGACAAGAAGGAGCCAGACTTGCCAGAATCCAGAGAGAAGACACCGTGGGAAGAGGGAATGGTTGGTCGGAAGGTCCCCGGATGGGTGAGAGCTTCGGAGTGCCTGAGGAATAGGAAGGAGGCCGGTGTGGCCGGACGGGGGTGAGGGAAGGGAGGGGGAAGATATCCAGGCTACGTGTGAGAGGCCAAGGCCTGGTCTGCCATGGACAAGCCCAAGGCGAGGGCCACGGGCCTGACCCTCACTTCGTGTCCGGCCTTTCTTGGAGGCCCCACCTGCCGGCTGGTGGACATGTGTGGAGGCTGCCAGGCAGCCGGAGAGCTGTGAATGAAGGAGGCCGGGCCAAGGTTTGAAGTAGTGTTATGATTATTCTCTACAACGAGGAGAGGGCACAGCTGTTCATTCAGGAAATGAGCAGCCCGTGGCACCACCCACCCACCCACCAGCAGCTGAGTAACAAAGAAATTGTCTGCTTGAAACCAGGGGTTCTGCCGCCGAGGCTATTTTTGTGAAAAGCTGAGAATTCAAAAAGCTCATCTCCTCGAAAGCCTTCCTCACCTCAGAGAATCTGAAGAGGTGGGTAAGAGGAGAGTAGCCCCTGAGCCCTACGGATTCCGTCTGAGTCCTCATTCACACCCTGTTGCCTACTGCCCCCCCACCCTTGGGGGCCAGACCTGGGCCTACCTGGCCTTGAAACCATGTAATGCTTTAAGATACATAACATCCTTAAGATGTCAGTGCCATCCGTTGGACAGATGTGGAAACTCGGGCACAGAGAGGTTAAGAAACTTGCCCGACATCGCACAGCTGGTGAGAACTCAGGAGTTCTGGCTTCATTACCCTCTTATTCTCTCTGCCACACCACACTGCCTTTGAAATGTCTTTTCGGTTCCCTGCATGCCCGTCTCCTGGGCCGTGGGAAGATCCTCTTCTGCAGCTTTGACCAGGTCATTCGTTCATTCAGTCAAACCTTCGACAAAGAGTTATTGACTCCTCAGATGGTCTGGGCCGGAACCCAGCAGTGAACCAGACAGATACACACACTGAGTTTACAAAGCTCATGCCCTATCTAGGAAGAGACATGGTACCAAGTATGCAAACGAATAAATGTTTGAATGCGATTTATGAAGGCAGCACACAAGCGGGGTGGGCAGATGGAGATGGGCAGGGCTGAGTCCACCGGCTGAGGGCTGAGAGAGGCCACTTTGAGAAAGGGCCCTTGTAAGCTGATCCCCAAGGGTGAAAAGGAGCCAGCCTTGTAAAAAGCAGGGGAAGAGTGTTTCCCAAAGAGGGAACAGCATGGGTGAACTCCCAGAGGCAGGAAAGGACGCTGCATGTTCCAAAGGTCACTGGTGTGACCGGATGAGGAAGCAAGAGGAGGCTGGGGTCACATTGTGTAGGGTTGTGTGGGGACCTGGCAAGAGGCCTGCTCCTCATCTGAAATGAGGTAGGAAGGCAGGAGATGCTCCTGCCTCCAGACAGTATCCCTGGTGGCCTCACAGCCTCATCCTGGCTAATGATCAATGCAGACGGGAGACTGAGGAAGATGGAGGGGTCTCCTGGCCCTGACCCCAGGGCTGGAGATTACTCTCTGGCCTGTGGGTGAGGGTCTCCTGGTGCTTAAATCCCCTCAAGTCATTGGGAAGTGCTCTCTGTCATAGGGTAAGGGGTCCCTCCCACAGCTGGCCCCCTCTGCATCCTGCCCTGAGGCCCTGGGGCTGGAGCAGCCAGGCTGACTCCCAGTGAACCCAGGGCTGGGATGGGCTGTGAGCCAGGCCTCCCTCACATACCCATTCCTGAACACCTTGAGGCTTCTTAACATTTAGGCTCACCTCCATCCGAATCTTCTGAGTGAGGCTGTCTCTGGCTGCCC